TGCAAGATACAATATATATTTTGTTTCAATCTGATTTCAGGATTTACGGTTGCCACGTCAATCTAATCTAACCAAAAGCCTTCAGACATTTCTATTAAGGACAGCCCGGGGTTACTGGGTCACAACCATTGCGATGGTGCCCTTGAGCAAGGTATCCAAACCCCAGTGGCGTGCAGTCAATGCATTATCAAAGGAACTGACCTACATTTACAACCTAAGTTCTAATATTTGTTCCATAAAATTGCCTAATGCCCCCCCCCCTCCCCCAAAAAAAAATCTGCATTAATTTTAGCAGCATTCCTTCCGGTACATGAATGCAAGATACAATATATATTTTGTTTCAATCTGATTTCAGGATTTACGGTTGCCACGTCAATCTAATCTAACCAAAAGCCTTCAGACATTTCTAAGTGACCCCCAAACTTTTAAACGGGAGTGTATGTTTCGGCAAGGAGTCCCACGGACTGAATGTACCACAGAAAATAATTTTTGAGAGTCAGTCTGCTGCTATAGGGACATCAATGAACTACTACTCTCTATGGTTCTGGACAACCAGGAGACAAAGACAGATTAGGTAGAAATAAATAAGTACTTAATGCCTTTATTTAATAACGAGCAATTAATTGGTTCGGGTTTTGTAGGTCCAGGGGTGGGGGACGAGGCTGATTGGGTGGGGACTGAGGGTTTAGAAGGTAGAGGGAGTTTGAGGGTGAGGAGTGATTATCTCCAAGAGCATAATGATTTCTCATATAATGTCTAAGATTTATGACTTGTAATCCATCCATCCATCCATCCATCCATTTTCTAATCTGGTTATCCTCACGAGGGTCGCGGGTGTGCTGGAGCCTATCCCGGCTGTCTTCGGGCAGTAGGCAGTGTACAGCCTCAACTGTTTGCCAGCCAATCGCAGGGCACACATAGACGAACAAGCATTCACGCTCACACCGAGGGTCAATTAATAGTGTTCCATGAACCTGCCATGCATGTTTTTCAAATGTGGGAGGAAACCGGAGTACCCGCAGAAAACCCACGCAGGCACAGGGAGAACATGCAAAGACTACACAGGAAGGCCGGAGCGGAATCGAATACAGCACCTCTACACTGTGAGAGAAATGTGCTAACCAGTCGTCCACCATGCCAGCCATAACTTGTACTTATAATTATTATGCCATTAGAAATTGAGAAATTGTTGACATTTGAGAAAAATTGGAGGGTAGACCTCCACCAAGAAGAGAGAGGAAAATATATTTAAAAACAACAACAACAACAACAACACAAAACCCTGTTTACAAATCAAAAAAACAAAAGCTCAATTGGGGAACCAACTGGCTGATTCATCAGCCAACCAACAAACCAACAAACCAACCGTCAAGCTGACCAACAACCAGTAAGCTAACAAAATACCCAATCAATCAACCATCCAGCAACCCAGCTCACCAAAAACACAGTTGGATGTTCTGGTTGTAAACAAACAAGCAAATGACAACAAACAAAATGCTCCTACCTTGTTTCCAAAGGAATTCTTGAGTAGTAGAATCCATGTAATTCTTGGAGTCATCAGCCATCCAAACAACTTGGGAGTTTCAAACTTGGTGAGCCAGCACCTGGTGATGTTCTTCTTCTCTTGGATTTCTGGAATAACAAAGACAGCCTGCTGCCCCCTAGTGGAGCAGCAGATACACGTTACTAAACCCAAGGGTGGAATGGATGCAGGTGACATACATGAGGTACAGTGATCGGTGAAAATTTGCAATCCCGACAGACCACATAAAATAATAAAAATAACAACAACAATAAAAATAGCCTTTGCCCCTCTGACACACTTAACAAATTTAAACTTTTGAATGCTACTTTTGACACTATTTGTAAGGGCCTATTTTCACGTACCTGTCTCCAACAAAATGGAAGACTATCGTACGACCTCACTTTGAGGAAGTGAAAAGATGAAGACTATCGCGGTTCGTCGTTCACGCATGCTGCGCTATATCGCAGACTTTTATCGTTTCATACATAAGGTGATATAAAGGTCGGATCGGTGACCTGTGGGTTGTGGCTGCACAAGAATGGAAACGGGAACAATGCCTGTACTGTTTCCTAAACATCTTTAAGCATGAAAACATATTTCACCTGGACCTCCCAGGTGGGGCATGTCTTTGGTAGACAACCCGCCCGAAGGGGGTCAGCGTCGCCCCTATTGGCCAGGCGTGGCGTGGAGGTGCCATATTAAAGTTCCTCCATTTGATTTTGGCCTTACTGTCATTATGTCGTAAAAAGTAAGTGTGTGTGAAGCTGAGTGCGATGAGCTTTCATCCAGACTTAATTATAGAGTACGTTGCAGAGCCATCTTTCGCTGGGCAGCTTCTTCCTTGTGCTCTTTTAAGCCCGCCTCCCCCTGACACATTCTTTTATTGTGTGTTAATCACAAGGAGACGCGAAGCCGTTTGCGGTTGGTTTCCTCACCGGTCCGTACACGAATCCCGAGCGCTGCGGCGGCCGGATGGAATGTGATGCCGGCGCATCTTTGCTTAAGTCCGTGCATTTGACACAATTATAAGAGTATTCAAGTTTGGAAAAGATAAATAAGTAGGCAGCCAGCTTGCCAACGAACCAAATGCATGGGGGTGGGGGGGGGGTTGGCTGACTAACCAATCAACCAGCTAGCTAAATAACGAGCAAGCTAACAATCTAAGTAGTTCTCTAGTTAAGTGCAGATAGTTGTCACATGCACCATTAAGCCAACATTGTCAGAGGCCTGTCAAATATTCTGAACAATGATTCAAGATTTTACTTTTTTTTTTAAACTATTTAGCCATTCAACGAAACCAGCTAACTAACTAATTAGCATATTAACAAATGGTAGCCACCTCACTAACCGACACAACTGACTTATTACAATAACCATTTCTCTTTCCTTAATGACGTGCCTTTCACACCACAAATATATTAAAATGCTTTTGACGAAATGCCTTACTGCTCAAATCCGATGTGTGAAGTTGGACAGATAAATGAGGTGACTTTGACAGGGGATGGCCAACAAAAGGAAGAGCGCCATCAGAATGATGACGATGATGGCCAATCCCCCGTGGGAATTTAATTCTGTGTCATTAATTTAAGAGGTAGCCATAAAACACTCCACGTCTGTGCCTTTTATGAAGGAAATCATTTGCCTTTTATCAGACTTTTATTATTCTTTTTCTTTGTACAGTCACACGCTGGGAATGTGTGCACGCATGTGTGTTTGTTTGCCACATGGCTGAATCTCGCCACATTCCACCTTTCACATCAAGTGACGGCAGAATCCAAGTTGTTCCCTTGCAAACATGAGGGCAGCAACAGAGCGGCATTCGTATGACAATATGTTCACGATTGGGTTATTTCCGAGCTAAACTGGCAGACTGTCTCAAAAACTCGGAAAAACCTTAAAACTAGTTAACTAGGCAACGCACAAAACCAACCAACAGAGTATTAACTATAATAAGTAGCAAATTAGCTAAGTAGCTAAAGTAACCTTAAATAGCTAGCTAATTAACAAGCAACCCAACCAAATGACTAGCGAGCGAACCAACCAACTAATGAATGGGCTAAATGACGAACAAACCAGCTAACGAGAAAATTTGTTTGCTAGTTAAGTAGATAGGCAACCAAACAAATGGCGGATTGATGATTGCCTAAACAACTCGTCAAGTTATTTGCTAGTTAGCCGGCCAGCGATGTAATCAATCAACTACCTAACTTTAAAAAAAAATGCCTAGTGCTGGCAAATTAGTAATTTTTTTATTAAACCAGCTACAAAAAAAAAAAAAAAAAAAAACCCAAGCAAACTAACCTTTTAACCACTTTTGTCCTCTAAAGTTGAGTCTGTTATATTTGACAAACATGAACAGGGATGAAACACACCGAATTCTTTGGGGGTGCGGGGGAATGCACAAAAGTTTTAATTAGGGAAATAAGTCTATTCTGGAGCTAAATGTTACAACACCCCCCCAAAAAATGTTGCTGTGTGTTGAAAACAAAAAAAGTGTCCTTTCTTTAGAACGTCTGTCTTCAAGGCTACAACAAGATAAACACTTTTGCTTTTTAAAATCAACAATAGAAAACACGGCTCATGGATTTTTGCGTCAAAGCTAGGTCATTATTGCTTTTGCTATTGTCTGGACAAATAATGGAGAGGAAGTTACTGGAATTTTATTGAAAAATACAAATCAATATGGACTGTTATGAGCCTTTTTAATTTGAAACAAAAGAGTTGGGTATGACGCTGACGGGACTTTAGCACGTGAGGCTTTCTGCTCCAACTAGTCAGCTAACATTAGCTGCATGTTAACATAGCTTTACATATTACACGTCTGTTGAATAAATCTTAATGGTTAACCGATTCTGACACACACACACACACTTCTTACTAGATGGACCTCTGTTCGTTTGTGAAAGCCACACCTTGTGTGATACACAGAAACAAAGATGCTGCTGTTCTGGCACAGGAACAGACTGCAGCAGGAAGCATGATGCCACCGAGGAGTCATAACGCTGATTAACAGCTGCCTCTAATTAAAGATCAATGGCCGGGCTTTCAAAGGTGATTTGTTACATAAATTAGGATGCCCACTGTCCATTAACGGCGTCCGTGTCTCAGTAACAGATTGAGCCGCTCGCCGGAGACCGCCACGCAGACCATAGCTCACCCATCTCCAATCCCCCTGCGGATGTTTATGGACGGGCTTTTATTTTGGCAGTGTGCTGAAATGTCACATCCGTCAAGAGTCGCCGCCAGGGTAGCCAGATGTGCCCCACAACGCATGGCTTTTATTTCATGTATCAATGCATCCCGAAATGGAGACGTGCCATCGAGAGGCTGCTTTGAGTCATTTGTACTCAATGGTCATCAATACACTGGGACAACGGAGATTTGGTTTACAATTATAGCCTGGGTTAATGTTTTGATTCCCGCTTTAGCATGTTCCAGGGACAAAAACGTTTGAAATAAAACTGTTGAGAACAAGTGAGATTTCTCCATTTATTCAATTTCAAAAGACCATTCCAAGGCACCTAGTATTCAACCTGCAACACAGATGGTCAAGTTTAGAACACAAATTGAATTAAGCAACGTTGTACTACTTACCCGGCTCCTGAAGTAGCGAGGAGATATTTTGACTTGATCGGGGTGGTTGAGAGGACTGTAGTAATGAGGGACTTTTACTTCATCGGGCTGGTTGAGAGGACTGTAGTAGCTAGAACCTGACTCTAATCCGTCATTCAAGACGCTCCCTTGACTAACGGCCTGTTCAGTGTTTTGGGGCGGTCCAGCAGCGTCCACCCAGGGCCATATGGGCTCATCTTTCTCATAGTCAAGGTCCTGGTTATAGTTTGTACCGTGCTCAAAGTTGCTGCTGAAGTGAGTTGCTGCGCCTGGAGGATACCGGCCGGTCAAGAAAAAGTAGGCGAAAGGATAGGGAACGTAAGGTACGCTCACGTATGGCGGGACAAAGCCAGGAGGGAAACGCGCTACACTTTGGGGTGTTGAACCGAAAGGAACTGGCAGGGGTTGAGGACGAGGTTGTTGTGGGATGCCATGGGCTTCGCGCTCTGATTCGTAGTCCCCATGCTCAAAGGTTTTCTCCAGGCACAACAGCTCACCGGGCTGGAAATGTAGTTGTGGGTACGGGGCAGGTTGGGGATGAATTGGGCCAAAACCAGACATGTCAGGACCGCCAGAGACCGGCAATTGTGGGACTGCAACACCACCCGACGCGTCAAGTTGTTCATCCATGTCCACTGCGTCGGGAACGTTTTCAGCACCACTTAAGACCTGCTGTTCATTACCTGGAAGCGGAATAACGCACGAGTTAAACTGAAGCACAGGCTCAAATTATTTTAATTTAAAAAAAAAAAAAAAAAAAAGATACAAACCATGTGCCCAAACTTTGGCAACGTGAGTGGCATCCTCTTTCACAATTGGAGTCCTTGCCCCAGAAACGGACAGATGAGGTGTGAACTTTTGCTTTGGCGGTTCTTGCAACAGAGTTCCGGGTCTGAAGTGACTGCTCGGGAAAGACCTGAGGCCAACAGCTAAGAAGAACATTTTAGACACCCATTCCAAGCAGTCAGCTTGGAAAATGATTTTGAAAAAAAAAAAAAATTATCGCTATCATGCTATACCTTAGCAATAAAGCCAAAGAATCACCGTCATTGTTTACCTTGCCCGTATGGGTGGCAGAGAGTGAGGGCTGCCATCGCAACAAGAAGCAAAGCCCTGTTGGAACACAAACACTTGACACAAAAATTTACCAAAGGAGGCACAAAACAGAACATCAAAAATTGCCCACTCACCCAGAAGCCACACAACCAGTCATGATGACAGCAAAAGGAGCAAAGTCGTAACTCATGCAAGACCAGGACTGTTTTTTTTAAATGGTGCCAGTGGCAAGTTTGGACCAATCGGGAGACGGCAGCTTGGCGGGCCACAGCTGCCCCACGTTCAATCCTGATGAAGTCGCGGCCTCGCACTCGTCACTTGCCAACGAGTTACACATGGGCTTTTATTTTTCTGTTCATGATAAATTCGGAACCCGGCCTTCCTGTGTGGCGTTTGCGTCTTCTTCCCGTGCCTGCGTGGGTTTTCTCCGGGTACTTTTGGAAAGCGGAGTACCCGGAGAAAACCCATGCAGGCACGGGGAGAACACGCTAACCCCACACAGGAAGGCCGGAGCCGGAATCGAACCGTGCAGCACTGTGAGGCTAACCAGTCGCCCACCATGCCGCCCAAATTTGTTAACAGTAAGTTAAAAATGAAATAATGAGGAAAAAAAAATGGAATCAAACCGTCCATTCAGCTCTTTAATTTTTTTGTTGGCTGGAGTCAATGTCCAATCAACAACTCAACTGCTCACGGCACTGTCTTTGAATCGTGCAGGTGTACCTAATGTTTTGGCCTATGAAAAGCTGCAAGTTCAAGCTTCCTGTCAAACTGGGGGAGCGCAACGTGAAAACTCGGCGTCTTCTTCTTCTTCTTCTTCTTCTTGTGGCTGAAAGCGAGTGAAGAGCCATAAAAGACATGCAAATGTGTGCGCCGTGTCGGCGGCACATGCCTTCATTAAGATCTCATTGCTCCCCACGCAGCTTGAGACGCTGCCAAATGTGCCACGGCTCAACATTGTAACAATTTCCGGCACTCCACATGTGTATTTCCTGCCTTTCTAATCAGAATTCTATTTTGCGTCTCAAAAGGGGCTCCATTCAGGCGCACATTAGCAGCCCTCGTCAGCCCTAATGTGGCTGCTCGGGGCCACGGGCCACCAGCTGCATCCACTTGTCACTCGCTGCTGCACATGCCCGCACTTACTCACTCAATATCTGTCTGTGGTGCTCAATAAAAAAAAATAGCAAGACGCACTTTTATGGATGTTGACGTTAGGGACGTGCGTGTCCGTCACTGATGCTGATGAGAGACGTATTACCATACACTGCCATGTTTGGGCCGACGATCGAGCGCGTCTTTGCTCATCGAATGTGGGATGCCATGGGCTTCGCGCTCTGATTCGTAGTCCCCATGCTCAAAGGTTTTCTCCAGGCACAACAGCTCACCGGGCTGGGAATGCAGTTGTGGGTACGCGGCAGGT